TAATTTGCCCTATTTTCAAGCCCAAGGCCCACAAAAACAATGATGTAGAAAGAAAAAAGAAATGATTTGTTTGAATATGGGGGACATTTGTGCATTTATTCGAGAGCAATGAAAAAAACGATTTTTTTTTGTAATTGAAGAAACTTTCGAAATAGAATGTAATTAGCCCCAAATGTATGTGATTTCTATACTTTATACTAGATATTAAGAATATGGGTCATTAGACAAATTCGGAAAATTCGATATATGTGAGTGATTTGTGTAACAATAGGAAATATATAAGTCAGTTTTATAATAAGGGATATATCAGCTCTAAATGTCAAAGTTGAAGGGTATATTAGACTATTTTCCCTTTATTTATTAAAAAATTTACAGTGTTAACTAAGGAATTCGACATACAATTTGTGTAAGATCAAACCTTGAGCATTAAGCATTAGGTATATGGATATATCGTTTGGTAGCTGGTTAGAGTTATGTACACTATTAATTACGAATATATCTATATATTATTCGGAGAAGGGCCTAAAATGCCCCTCAAGTATTTGAATTGGTACAAAATTACCCTCCATCCACCTATCGGCCCTAAAATACCCCTGACGGCCACCTTTCAGCTCAAAAACACCTTTATGTCTAACGGATCACACTCATTAAGTGGATGGAGGGAAATATTGTACCAAATCTCATAGTTTAAGGGCATATTAGACCCTTTTTCGTTAAAATAATTTAAAATTACTTAATATATAAGCTCAAATGATTGACTTGATTTTGAATTTCGTAGTAAATTTAAAATTATAAAAAGGTTAGGCATCTACTCTCTAAACTACTCCCTCCCCGACCCTTCACTTCCTATCTCTTCCATTTTTTTTCTATTTGGATCTTGTCCACAATTTTTTTTTATTATTTATCACAAACAAGAGAGAAAAAAAGAAGGAAAATAGCGATGCATTCATATAGAAATAATTAGTTCAATAAAAGATTGACTTAATCAAGCAAATATGGACAAATATTACATTTTTTGTGTGTACCCAAAATTAAAAATAAAAGAATAAAAATAATCATTTCTTTTATCCCCACCCTCATCCCATCATGGCAATAATACTAATTAAAAGAATTTAAATATGTGAGTTCATTTCAAGTTTGAGTCCCGGATATCCTAATTAAGAATAAGAGATTAAAAAAAGGAATAAAAGAGAAACTGAACAAGACATTTGGATAATTGAGAGAAAATTTTATATTAATGAAAATAATAATATTTTTAGATGGACAATGAATCGGAGTAAGTATGGATTTTAGTTGGATCCCTATTTATGAGTTGGGTTACGTTATAATAAATTGGGTCGATTTAAAATAGGCCAATAGGAAGATATCAT